GGTCTAATATCTAGTCACTACCTTAGCTACTTGGTCTGCTCTACTTACGATGTGTTTGAGAAGGAGAAGAACAGAACTGCCCTAAGCTTCCTCCTAAATAAGGAAAGCTTAAATTTAGGATATTGCCATGTTTACCCTGTCCCTTCTCTTGTTTTAGGATCAAGTCAACTGGATCCAAAGAATAGAACATGTGGCTTTCATGAGGTGTAGTTATATAGTTTGCTAATATCACTTAACATGTCTTTTTTTTACTATTATTTTATGTATTGTGAGGCACCAATCATCATACATTTGAAAATGATTCTGCAGTCTGATTTATATTGCAGCTCCATGAACTGTTTTAATCATTCAGAGTAAAAAGTATACAAGAAAAATTAAGCTGTTTATAATACGTACTGAAGGGTGTGGAATTAGCTTTTCAAAATATCTATATAGGAGGATTCTGAAACTTTCCAGTCTTATCTGTTTTCTATAGTGCTGAGCTACCACTGCAACTACTTTATATGCAAACAATCACACTGGTAAGCCTTATTATACTGCTTGCTAACACAGGCATTTGTTTGGCATTGTTACTGCATGTTATCAGTTCAGCATTTAATTATGCTGTAGTAGTAAAATAAAGTTGGCTCACATGAGACACCATCAAGAAGGGCTTATTTTGGCTCAGTAAACTAAAAAAAAAACCAACACCTTTTTGCAGCAACTATGCACTTTTGGGGATACTAGAATAACAGATAAATAGGTCTTTCACCCACTGATATGGGTGAAAATTGTTGTGTGGAATTGTTACGAAGAAAATATATAGTATAAGAGCAGTGTGTTTTGTGACTTCATTTTGATGGTAAACTGTCCACATTTTTTAATATTCCTCTACGTAGCGTTTAATGCATGCTACACAACATATATTAATTATCTTGAGTTTTAATTTAAAATATCAAGTGGTTCTGAAAGAGAAAAAATGGAATAGTGTAGATTCGTAGCAGTAGGAGTGTTAGGAGAAAATGCCATATTTATATGGTAAAAGTCATATTGCTTAGAACTTTTAAGAACACATTTTTTAGGAATTGAATGACAGAATAGAAAATCTGTGTATGTTTACAATCTATAATTTGAATTACATAGGTTAATATAATATATATTCATAGAATCATAGAATGGTTAGGGCTGGAAGGGACCTTCAAAGGTCATCTAGTCCAACCCCCCTGCAAGGAACAGGGATATCTATCCTATACTATATATTACTAGGTTACAGTGTCATGACTTTTCAACAAATGTACAAGGATTTCCAAGTTTCGTTTGGTTTGTGTTTTGGTGGGGTTTTTTTCGCCTCCCCATCTTCCCCAGTAGGAGACTTCAGAAGTCTCACAAGCATTGATTATCTTGCCAAATTCCCAAAGGTACTTTCTTTTACAGTTGATTTTGCTGCTTTTGTTGGCATTCTGTCCATTCTCACTTACTGGTGGGAAAAATCACACATCCAGACTTCAATCCACATCATAATCATGTGATTATTTTCAAAAGTAAAGTGTTCTTGAGTATTTTCTCCAGGTTTATATTGCTCTCAGGCAATGGAGCACCACTGGAAATCCGCTGAATCCATGCTTCAGTCTCTCAAAATAATTTCCACATGGATTAATTAGAAGATCAGGATGGGCTACTGGGTGAATCTTTTCAGTTGGCAGTTAGGGTAGTAAAAGATTTAAATCTTGCAGCACTAAGCTCCACAGCAACATCTGCACTATGCGAGCTGCCTGAGTGTAAGGAACAGTAAAATCATTATTTTAAAAAGTCGCGTCTAGTTAGTTAAAACTGAACTGATTTGGGTCTTTTAGCTGTTAATTTTGAATTGGTTTTTCTCAGATATTTTGTATGTATATATGGTTGTGGGTTGGTTTTTTTTTTTTTATTTTAGCTGTTATTTTGCCTAGTATTATACTGCTTGCATGGTATGGCAATGAGATTTTCCAGGATATCAGTATCCCCACAGCTGGTCTCCCTCACTGTTGCGGGACCTAGGTGCAAGCACTGTCTCTAGGATTTGTATTGCCAGGTAGTTTGAGTACACGCAATACGAGTCTCCTCTGTTGTGTGTAACACAACTTGAGTTGTATAAAGCGTTATATCCGTGGATGAAATACATTAGCTTATACAAAATTTTGATTGTTTTTAGGCTTCTGGTTTCATCTTGTAACTCTGCAATATGACTGACCTTGGAGATCATAAAATGTCATAGATACCTTTCACTGACTGATAGAATATTCAGTAGGTGGCTGTGTCCTAGTTAGGAAAAGGATATACAACAGTTGTCTTGCTAAGATGCTTCCTAACTGTTTAGACACATTGTAAAGCACGTTTACTAGCATCTTTACATATACTCTGTCCAGGCACTTATGCTTTGAACTTGCAAATTTTTCAAAATTCTCTCTAGGACAGAAATCAAATTTCTTTCTGCTGCATTTCTCATTTGACAAAGAAAAAAAGCTTAAAATGTCACTTAGATTTAGTTGTGCTTCTCTTGCTTTTCTTTGCCACGGTGTCATAATACAATTCAGGAATAATGTTGGATTTTTAAGCATTGACTTTTTTTTTTTCAGAAATTAGAAAAAAATAGTATGGTCTTTCCAAATAATTAATTTTTTAACCTTTCTCGATGATAGACTTAGTTTTCAGATTTCGATTTTATTTTTTTTTCAGGTTATTAACTGTTTTTTTTTATCCCTGGCATGAACATGATGTTTCTGATAAGACTCAGCACTTCTAAAATTGAATGTGTCGGAGAAAATTCCCCATCATCTTCCACAGGACAGATTAATGTTCATGGTCATCGCTAATCTCTGGTGTACCTGGCTTCCACTTTATTAACTACTTGTAATATTCGTTGCAGTTCTTCACTAACTTTTTAAGTTACTCAAGACTTAAAAATAACCTTACAGATCTCTAAGAGTGTCGTGGGTTAGGCTGAACCCCCCCACACAGCCGGTCACTCCCCCACCCCCAGGAATGAGGGAGAGAATTAAAGGATAAACGGGAAACCCGTGGGTTGAGATAAGAACAATTTAATACAGATGGTTTAATACACAGTGTAGGTGCTCACCACCCCCTCGTATGCGAAGCCCGTCTCGTCCCGAAGCTGCAATCCCGGACGAACGCGAGGCCCCGAAATAGAGAGGGGCAGAGAGAGAGAGAGATAGTACTCCGAGAGTGGGAGTACTGGGAGAGAGAGGAAAAGAAAGAAAAAGCAATAGAGCAAAAGCGCAGCAAGCGCAAAAGAGCAAAAGCGGCGAAAGAGCCAAAGCGCAAAAGCCCTTCTTCCCGGCTGACCCTCACTTTTATACTGGGCATGACGCTGCATGATATGGAATACTAATTGGCCAGTTTGTCCCTCAATCTTAAGTTCCACCGCAAATCACAAGGGGGATCGTGTCCCCCTTGTCCCAGCTATGCTCCCCTCTTATCCCGCCGTGTTTCTGCACTCCGGCACACTGAAAAGTCCTTGGAGTCTCAAACATCAACTTGCTATCAGCATTCTTCTCAGAGCGAGCCTCTGAGTAAAACCAAAACACGGAGCTCTTCTAGCTGCTAAAAAGAAGAGCTAACCCGATCCCAGCTAAAACTAGGACAAAGAGAAAAGAAAGAGACACATAGATGAGCTTTTGCTCTGAGGTTTCCCATTTTGTTTTGATTGTCCTCCACATGGGTGAGGTTTGTTTGGATAGATCCTATACCAAATAGATGGTTACTGAAAACTGCAATTAAGTGTTCTTGCTAACTAAAGTTGACACACCTGGACTTCAGCCTGCATATAAAATAAGTTTGTATTTTGCTTCTTTTGGTGAGGAGTGAGTTAGCTGACCAAAATGTTAATCGAAACCACACACTGCCTACATCTTACCTTAGCCATGCCACCACATACTGCTCATTTGTCTCTTTTAGTTTTTTGTCTACCTAGTAGCTTTTTAACTGTATCCTTTTAAAGTAACATTGACTGTGACTTCGCTTCTGAGAGTTGAAGTACATTTTTAAATTCCAATGCATTGAACAGTTAAGAAGCAGGAGCAGTAATACCATTTCTCTACCATCACCTGAAATCAAGTATAACTCAGCATGTTGTTATCTTTCCTGTTTAACTGTAGTCAGTAACTGCTGGCACTGTTGGCTCGCTCTAGTGTCGGAAAGTTTCACATCTGCCTATGTACCTGCTGGGTTGAGAAACCCAAAGGAGAACAGGATAGAAACTCGACTGTGTCTGCTGGAGGACATTATGATTGTTGGAGCAGGATGCCATTACACAAGGTCACATCCTGTGTTTGTACAGCCCTACCAAAGATGTGCGTCTCCCATCTAGAGGAGGAAAATGGTCACACGGGGAATAAACAGTTAGTTATAGTTTTCTTGTTCTGTGTCTTGAATCGCATTACAGTATATTCCATGTTGGTCTAAATTGAATCAGTCAGCAGTGCTCCTTACAGAATACACATCTTATAGCCGGTGTGTGATAGACTTTGAAGCTAATAGGATTTGGAGAGAGAGGCAACAACTCCACACTTGAAGAGAACACATACTATGAGCTAGTCAGTAGGATAATTATGGATAATGTCTAGCTTACCTTGCCTGGGTGGTATGAACAGACCATACCCAGATGAAATGATTTGCCTCAATGCAATGATTCCTTGACTTTTAAAAATGTATTGAGCCTGTGGACTAAAATGATTGAAACTCTTGGTTTGATGTAGCCATCAATATTCTGTAACAAAGCACCAATGTTTTGCAACTGAAGCAACCATTTTCTTCTTATTCTGTTATTTCCAATTGCTAGGTTTTAAAATCTGTTAGGACTGGGGCTGTTCTGAAACGAGTTTGATTTTAGAAAAATTGAAAAAGTTTTTACGTAGAAAATACCTCCAAGTTGGTAACAATACTAGCTGGGAGTGCCAACTTGAGCAAAGCTGGTACCTTGCAAAGCAATAAAATCTTGTTTTAATTTTTCTAGCATTTCTTAGAAGCAGAAGACAAAGACTGTCTCTTCCCCTGTGCCCGGCAGGCACAGTACCTGTCAAGAGCGTTGTCTCCTTACGGCGAGCATGGCTTGGTTCACTCCAGACCAGTAAAATATGCCAGAAAAGGTTCTCGGAATACGTCTAATGCATCTAACTCAAACTCAAGTGTCAGTACATCAAGTACACCAAGAAAACGCTCTGGACTTTCATGCAGTTGCTCCACTGATAGTTTTGTGAGCATCAGTCATTCCCAGAGGCATCAAGGACGCAACTCCAAACTATGCAGTGGGGATCTTCTAGACAGGCACTCTGAATTCTTTACTGATAGCCGAAAACCTTTTATTCCACGCACCTTAATATCAGATGCTAAATCTTTCCTGTCAGAGTACAGGTATTATACTCCTGCTCGAAGGAAAAGGAAAAATCACTGCAAGCGGCATGTGGAAGCTCAAACACAGACTGATGTGATCAGGTACAGAGATTAAAACTTTGTCTTGAAACTGTGGAATTTAGATGTTATCATAACAATATCTTCGTAAAAGCAACATGTTTTGCTTTCCTTTACATTTGCATAAAACCACAATAATTATTCTGAAATTATTCTAAATATTCCTTAGCAAAAGCTAGAGCAGAATGTGATTTTCCTTTTTTCACTGACGTGTTTTGTTGTTTTCTCTCTGGAGTGACTAGTTTCATCTGAAAAAGTTGGATACAAAGCGCCACTAAATCCCAATGGTGGGATCTACCATCTGCTGGGGATAGTCATTCCCCCCTCTGTTTTCTTTGCTCTCTCTGACTGTAGTTGTGCTTTCTGTCTTCTAAAGAATTAACCACTGTAAGCATGCAAGTAGCTCCCCACTGTTGCCCCTGTAATGTCATACTTTCCAATTTGTTAATTAATATGTCATGCAAAGATCCTCTTTTGTTAACTCTTGAATGCAGCTCTTCGTTCTCTTTTTACCAATTCAATTTAAATGCCTTCAGATTTATCCTATATGGAATATTTTATACAAAATTAATGTCCTTATCTTGCATTGAACTCTTTCTTAGGAAATTAAATAGTTTTGATTTAGTTTTGGTTTTACTGATACTACCTCGTAAAGAGAAATCTTTTCTCTTTTATGTCTCCATTGCCTGCATGTCTAACTCTGTTTTTGTCCTAGAACAAAGTAGGAATTTCATAAGACTGGAATTAAGATAACTTTGGCTCCATGTTGATTTTCTGGCTATGGGTCACATATTTTCCTGGTGCACTTTTAATGTATAGGATCATCTCCATTCTCAATTCTGCAAAATCAACAATGATTTTGGATCATTTAGCTATCCTCTGTAAATATGCAGCCAAATAATGGATTTGGATCAGCTACATATGACTGTTGTCATCCTTCAAAATGAACTATAACTTAGTTTTATTATGTGAATGGAAGTCTGACAAATTTTCTAAACTGTCTGACATGTTTTAGTGCTAGGTCTCATTCAGATTGATGGGAAGTTTTCACAGTGGCACTGGTATTGTCATTCTGCATATTTTGGAAGTAGCCTTCTTAGAAATCTAATACAGCTCTAAATTTTGTAGCTTTCCATCTGCAGACAGAGCATCTGAGAGAAAAGTTATGACTGAACGACAGCAGGTCACATTGAAGGTAATGCAATCATCATCTATCAATCATCTGGGTACTCTTACCACACCCTTCACCATCATTTTGGAGTATATACTTCATCTCTGCCACAGCAGTATACAACTGGATGAAGTTTCATTTTCTTTATTGTCATGCGATTAATTAGTTCTGTAGAAGAAAGAGTTTCAGAAGAATGGATGAAAACAAGAAGAAATATTGAGGCATGGGAAGAGATCCTAGGGTATTAACAAAATTTTAAAGTGTTTTTTTCAGCAGTTTTTACAAGTGCAGTATTGATTAAATATCTGTTAAGGACATAGATAATTGGTACATTATTTTTCAGCAGAAGAAGGTACCTCTTTTTGGTGATTTCCCCCCCACCCCCCCCACCCCCCCCTTTTCATTGGATAACATATTCCAAAAAGCCCTGAACAGAAGAATTGGAACCACAGAGTCCCTTCCTCTGAGGAAGCACCCACACCAGCGGGTGGTGAAGTTTTCCTTGATACTATTTGCTTTCTGTCTTGCTGAATGTATCTGAAATGCTTTAATGAAAAATCACACTACTTCAGTCACAGACATGTTTACATCCATCGTCTTGATTTTAATTGCTAAATTGTGTTTGTGACAGTGGAACTTAGTTTTTCAGTTATTTGGCCTTTCAGAAATTGCCTTAGTGTGTGATCATTTAAGATTATTACATTTTGAAGATGAAGTGAAATACCAGCATATCTGGGAAGCAGAGGAAAGCAGACAAAAGACCTGAAATATTTCTTAAGACTTCAAATCGGAAGTTATTTTGTCATGGAATAGCTTGATCAGAAGTTAGGTTCTTGCTTTGTGCCTTACCTTGTAGCCACTGTACAGACAAGTCCTTATAATAAGGAGAAGTACCTGAATAACTGTGGACTTTCTTCGTGAACAAAGGCTACAGGGTCAGAGTCTTCATGACTCTAGCTTAATAAGGCAAATAATTATGCTTCATTCATTGGAGGAGAGGAGCAAGAGACATTATGTATTTATAGCTTTACTGAAAATAGAAGAGACATCACCTGAACTGATCTGCAGCTGACTTCATTAAGAAAAGGTTAAATGATTATTCACAAGGCTTCACTCCAGGTCCATGAAGAACTTCTGATTTCATTTCAAAACTGTCATATCTGACTTTTTCTTTGGCTGTTGTAGAAGTGACAACAGTAAGTGATGTAGCTTTATAGTAGCCCTTTCAGAGTACTATGACTTACAGGCTGAGAGAGTTGGAGCTGTTCAGCCTGGAGAAGAGAAGGTTCCGGGGAGATCTTATAGCAGTCTTCTGCAGCAGCAGTACCTGATGGGGGCCTACAGGAAAGCTGGAGAGGGGCTTTTTACAAGGGTGTGTTGTGATAAGACAAGGGGTAATGGCTTTAAACTGAAAGAGGGCAGATTTAGATTAGATATAAGGAAGACAATTTTCACTCAGAGGGTGATGAGGCAGTGGAACAGGTTGCCCAGAGGAGTTGTGGATGCCCCATCCCTGGAAGTGTTCAGGGCCAGGCTGGATGAGGCTTTGAGCAACGTGGTGTAATGGAGGGTGTCCCTGCCCATGGCAGGGGGGTTGGAACTAGGTGATCTTTGAGGTCCCTTCCAACCCAAACTATTCTATGAAAATGCAGGTAGTCAGCAACTTTATCTTCCATCAGTTTTGTGCAATCAGATTAAAATTTTGGATATCCCTTTGCTGCCCTATGTCTCAGTTTACCCAAAGTTTCTCAGAAAAGACATAAAATTTGCAAGGCTACTTAATCACAGATAGCTAATTAGGTTCATTTTAATGGTAAAATTTGCTATCTGTTTGCACTGGTAATTAAGATTTTACCTCTGTGTTGTAGGTTGAAGATAGAAGATACACCATGGAGGAACCCGAGAGAGGAATAGCTACTTCTCCATACTCCTTCCTAAGGTGCCTGATTTACAGCAGGAAGGAATATTTGAAGCGTTCCGTCTTGCTTTCTGTACGGCTGCTTCTTAGGCCATAAGCCTTCATTATCATTTCTCTTTATAAGTCTCTTACAGGACTTTTGTTTGGTTGAGTGTTTTAGATCAATGGCCTTTCCCAACTCAAAATTCATTATCTTCTTATGATAAAGTTCCACTGGGAAGCCGATTAAGAAGGAGAGCTCTGAAATATATGAGTGTTTTTGAAAGGAGTGAGAGTGATGACATGTTAATACTGTACATCCGAGCGTACATCTGAGCTTACAGACTATATGGTACTACAACTAAATACTGGATTGGTATTCCAACTGATATTTCCTTTCAGGAAAAAGGGTCTCCAGACATCCAGCGTTTTCAACCTATGATCTGCAAGAATGGCAGACCAGAGGCATTTCCCACAACTTTTTCTGAAAACGTAGCACTGAGATACAGAGTATTTTCTACATTACAAGAACAGTGTTGGAAATCAGGCCAGAACCCAGGGCTCCCAGACAGTTCTCCTCATTGCTGACCTAAGTATTATGTCTCACTCCTGATTTGCTCTCTGGCCTTTTTATACAAAGGCATTTCTACCTGAGGAAAAAGTTGTATTCTGAGTGAAAAAAGCACTCTTATGGATAGTGAGGAGGTCTGTGTAGCATCTGAAGTAACACTGAGGTCTTTTGAGGTATTAGAGCAGTGCATCTAGTGAGGTGTTATAATACTCTTGAACCATAGTCTTTCAGGCATCAGTGTAAGCAGTTTTGCTATTGGAGCAGGGTTTGGGGGCGTTCTGGTGGAGTTTCTTCCAAGAGGAAGTGGGATAATGGCGCGGCATGGCTCCAGAAGAAAGCAAGATGCAAGGTAGTATAAAGGGTTTTTAGAATGTTGCTCTCTTTCTTACCCTTTGATTTTCTGATTAGAGAGACATCGTTGTGTTCTCAGCAGTCTTCAGTGAGGAGGACTATCGAGGATGAGTGAGTAAGCTTAAACCACTTCTCTGCTAGTTTGCGACATTAAACTAGAAACTCTTCCTCAGAACCGATGAAGTTGAAACAGTAATTGAGGACTGAATAAAACGTTGTTCACAATTTACAGTAGAATTGACATGACTCTGATTTGTTATATAATACTTAAAAATTTCCATGTTCATCTCAAAATGAAGAAAATTTATTATAACTTTGGAAGAAAGATAGACTTCTCTTCTTGTCCAGTGGCAATACTTTAAACATTTCCAGATCTTTTTTGGTCTACAATCTCTGAAGCAAATGTTGGCAAGATAAAATATCCAGGGGAAGGGCATTCTTGACACTTTTCTGCTCTGAAGTTTGATGAGAATTAGAAGAGGTTTGAGTTATGTTCAGAAACACTGCCAGTGCTTTATTGTGTGACCTTGGGAAAGTCACTTAATTCTTTGTGCTGTAGGACAGGCTTCTTGGATGTAATATAGGCGTATGACATCCTTCTTTAAGGATGTTAGATAGGTGTCAAAGATAAACTATAGATATCTTTCTTGACTATAGAGGGAACCAAAATTACAATCTTCAGGCTGGATGACAAATTTTACATAATTAAAGTCATGCAAGATGGATGCCATTTTTTATTTCCTGTTTATTAAGACTGGAGGATGATTCGATAGAGCTTAATTGGATGCTTTGAGATATTTAGAAAGAGGCTATGAAAGAGAAAGAGCAGTGAAACCTTTTCTTTTGGAGTTTTTGTTCTTGATGTTTTTCAAACAGAACTCCAAACTTTTGAGGAGTCTCCCATTTAGAGCAGTTGACATCAACAAGGCTTTAAGAGGTATTAAAATAGAGAGAAATTTGATCAAAGAGGTGAAAGCCGTATCTCTCACTAACAAGGATTTTGTAGATCAAAGAGTTGCTGTTTGAAAGGAACGGAGGCTGTCAAATAAGCACTTATGTTTTTCTAAGCTTCCATTGAGGACTAGCGATTTTCAGCTGCAGTCAGATTCTCTGGAAGCTCCTTTGGAAACCTTTACTCAGAGCATCAAACTGCAATTTTACACTTCCCATTCAGCACCCTTTTTGAGTGCAAAGCAGGTTCTGAACGCTTTCCAAGATTTGCTGATTTCCTCACTCAGGACCTCTGTGCTAATGTATACCACAACAGAAAGTTAGCATAAACATGGAGCACCATAGCAACCTTTCTAACAGTCTGACATTGTACAGGAGTTTTTATTATTATTCAAATTGAATGAAAGGCTCAGTTTGTCCTGATAGAATTACCTTTTTGAAAAATAGCAGCTGGTGCCAAGAACTATACAATCTTCTTAATGGCATTTCCCATAAAGGTGATTGGACCTACTGCATTGTGTAATATGTGTGTCTATTTTAACACATTTAACGCTGGGTTTTCTACTCTCCCTGCAGAGAAGAGGAGCTTTTATATTTAGCTTTCATTGAAGATGTAACAAATGAAATTCTTAGCCTTGGGCTATTTTCTAACAGGTAGGTTGTGGTTGTTTTCAAATTTGTAATGCTGCATCAGAAACACATGGACTCTGTAAGAAAGGGAAGCAGTGGTTAGTAACCATTGCTTTGCCTTTAAGAATATATAGATACACAGTTACCCCTTGCTTTTGTTTTGTTTCTTTTTTTGTTTTGTTTTATGTAAGAAAAGGGAACTAGGAAAGACCTGTGGGTCATCTACTTTCATCTGCTGCTGTGTACCCTGAGATAAAGCCTCTGTTAGAAACTGACATGGAACCCTAGGTGCAGTAACGCTAAGAAAAAATCATTTTACTCTGCAATGTCTCTTTTGCTAAATAAACCAAGTTCCTAATCTTTCATACAACACATTCTCCATGTCCCTTCTGTCCTTGCTCCTATTCCAGTATGAATTCAATCTTCAACATCGGTTGTTAGTATTACATACTGTTTCAGATAAGGGTTCACCAGTTTCTAAGTCAGATTTTTTTTCAATAATTAAACAATAAGTTATGATACAATTCATGTCTTTGAGTTATACTCCCAAATTCTTTTCTGTACCAGTTCTTTCTGATAAAGAACTCCCACTTTATAGCAAAAAGCCCTGCAGTATTTCTGATATAAAATTTTAACACATTTTTTTAACTCCATTTTCAAGGCAGTCTAATTCCAGCATAATATTCTGATCTTCCTCTGTGTTGATAATGTTCCCAGCTGTTTTTCTGTTCTGTGCACTCTCATTTTTGTTTTCCTGTCAAGGCTATCAATGAGAATGCTAAATACACTAAATCAAAAAATTAATCTTTGAGAAGTTTCAAGAGTAGACTCCCTCTGGTTCCTTTTACAGTAATGTTGTCTTCCCTCCAAACCCTTCTTGCACTATTTTTTTTTTTTAATAATTTCTTATGTATGCTAGATCAAATTCACTTGCCCTTCTGGAAATCTGTTCCAGTGACTGTGTACCGCAGTGGTCACAGAACACTTCCTCTGTGCTGAAGTTTTTTCTCTACCTGCTTAAGCAATGGAATAGAACTCTTAGGACTGGGGACTTTTCTCTGGATTTTTTAATGAACTTAGGTTTTATTCCTTCCCTTTACACTTGCGTACATCAGCCACTATGGTGCACCTAAGAGATTTTGGATACTTCCGCACACCAGTAGACCCCTGGATTGTTGGTTTCTCCCACCGCATAGACCCAACAGACCAAACACACCCAGAGTTGTGCTACAAATCCTGTCCTGGTTACTGTCTGCTGCTCAAAGCTGGGTCTGCCTGCTGAGCAAGTGTCCGGTGGGATACTGGCTCTGGGCAGCCCTCTTTGTGACAGAGCATAATTGAAACAATCTAAGTAGTCCCATTCAGCTAAGAAATGAAAATGAACAACCAAGATCATTAATTTATGTAGATCTGTTAGAAGTTGCTTTTCTTCCTGTGAAATCATTTAATTGTTCATTTGTAGAGTTCTGGAACAACTGTTTGAGTGTCATATACAAGAAAATAAGAGCCGTTTGGATGAGGTAGGTGCTTCTCCCTTTCTGCACATGACTTTGGTGATGTTTCCAAAGTACAGTGGAAACACACTGGTATGTTTGTGGGTAAAGGTAACCGGAATGCTCATCTCTCTCCATAAATGAGATTTGCAGACTCATGGATAACCGTAGATCAGGAGTCACAGGCACAGTCACAAAAAAGGGACAGTAGTCAACTCAGTTTGGTGACACGATGTATAATTTAGTCACTTGATTGCAAGCAGCCTCCATTTCCCTATGTCAGAATTAAGCCCTGAGTTCTGGGCAGATAGGTGCCGTGGGGCTGGTGAAGTGTCACCCCTTTCTTCCTTCACCCCCTAGAGCAAAATGCGTCACTTTTTGGATGTACTGAAAGCAGACCTCGGCTGCAGCCCGGGCAGCGGTGCAGAGCAAATCCCTGCAGGCTGGGAAGCCTTTGACTCGCTGGATCTGCAAGAGTTTAATACAATGGAAGAGCTCGAGTTTATCAATACAAGTCAGCAGCAAAGAAAAGCTACAAAAAGTGAAGAATTCTTTAGGACCATGGACTTATTAAAGGAACCAAACAAGTGTGAATCACCAGTATGCAGGGAAGGTTCAAAGGAGACACAGAGCAAGGATGACTTTTCGGAAGACGTTGCTGAAATGATGGATGCTGGGACAGAGTCTGATTCTTGTGTGAAATCTGAAGAAGACCCAGATGCTTCACCCTCATGTGAGGCAACTTTAGACTTGATCACTTGTGACAGTGGTTTGGAAGCCAACAAGGAACTTGATGATCTCGAGAAAAGCTTTGCAGAGGCCCTTCAGATCTCTCATGACTATTCATAGTAGTAGCCAAAACTTAGCTGTTATATAGGGATAGAGCTAGTTCTAGGGAGAACTGCCATTTGTTAAATAATAGTAAATTATTTGTTTTATTTTCATTTTATTTCTGTTCAAATACTGCTAAAACCTCTCTAGCAAGATAGTTAATTCGACATTAATTAGTCTCTGTATTGATGTAGACTCTAAAGGGTAAAGTAGTTAGCAAAACAATTTTGTATATTTTGCTATAATTGTATAACTCCACTAACTTTTGAGAATATTAAAATTTTATGTATATTTTTAGAAAGCTGTAAGAGTAAGTTATGAAATATTTATTGTTTATTATTTATAATAAATAAATTCATTGCTAGTGTAGTTGTGGTTCTGCTATAAAGATCCAGGATTTTGTATTTTGGTATACTACATACCTGCAGAGCAGAGATGGAACTGTTTGTCCATCCTGGAAGAGGGCATTGTTGATGTTAATTCCCATTAAGGCCCAAAGTTTTTATAATCAACTTTTTTCCTTTTATGGTAACTGTAGAACATAAGAAATGCAAAGAAAAGGTGTGTTACCTAGGGTGAAATAAGGAATGAGTGCAGACAGGCAACTTTCTGAACATAAGCATTTCTTTTGGTGCTGGTAGAAGATCATTCCTTCATCAGCCCTCAACCAGGAACTCAATGGTTTTATTGCTTGTACCAACAGGTGTAAAGAGCTATTTTGCAGTATTAGCTGCTCTTAGTCTCTGCCCAACCTCCTGTCAGCTTTCTGGCTTGAAAAGGACATTTATCTCCAGCTACTGCATATGGCAGCTGGTGAGCTGTTAAACACACAGCTCTTTTGTTTGTTTATTTTGTACGCAGCTCTTGAGCTGTTTAATCCTAGTTGTCCATGATTCAGCTGATATTTCTGGAACGTGAAGACTGCAACAATTTTCAAACTGCACAACACTAAAATACACGGTTCAATTTCTTGCATTAATGACAACCTTGACATAGCATTCTTCATCAAGCATTGGTTTCAAAAAAAGATTGAATTGGGTACTGACTGATAGCGAGGACTATCTAGTAGAAGAAACATCCCACATCTTGTAGAGCAAATGGAGAAAAGGTGGTCTGTTTCATGATTAAAGTTTAAATTGAAACAAAATCAGCCCAGATTTCTTTGTCTAATCAGAGTACAGCTACTACCTGGCATTCACGTTACTGCAGAATGAGCTTAATGGGTTCTGAGGAAGTGGCAGGAAGTTATATTGTCTTGCTATCTAGGTGAGGAACTATAAGAAGCCTTAGGAACTGGATAAAGCCTGTCCCCAAATACCACTTAGGGGGTTGGTCTTAACCTCCAAGGTTTGTCTCCAAGGACAAACCCAAGTGGTTACAGTTCATACATACAACTGCTGCCACCTGCCTCCCAGTGGCTAATGAGTGTCTACTAAAGACTATTGATTCTGCGAGCTAAATGACTGATTGCCGCTAGTAAGTAGCTCCAACAGATAGAGACCACTGCTTCACCTGTGAAGAGTAAACTTTTTTTAGGAAAATAGAAGATCTCAAAAAAACTCTAGAGAAGGCCAATCAAAAAAAAAAACCAAAAAGCAACATTTCTAGCACAGTCATCAGCATCACGGTGCAGAACATAATTCCAAAAAAAAAGCAAAAGGCACTTTCCTGGCTGCCTTGGCCTCAATTGTAAATGACACTTGTTGACAATGACAGCAGAGTAGGGTTTATTTTAGCCACGTACATGCGGCTGTGCAGATGGGCACTAGCCTTTCATCTGCCGCACTCAGCTGGCTGTCCTGTAAATCTGGGCTGTGGCGTGAGAGCTCTGGCTCACTGACAAGTAGGTAAGGTAATGTGAGGATTTTGCATCCCTCCATCAGAGCTTGCCTTGTGGAAAAGGCAGAGCTACAGGGCTGATTCGGTACAGTGCGGGAATGGTTTGTCCTCAATCACAAGTGATAAAAGCCCTTCTCCCATCACCAAGAAAACTCCCTCCCTGTTCCTTACCTGACAGAAGAGCTGAAGGGCAGGATGCACCAGGGGAACTATTGCTTCTATTGTACGAACAATTTTAACACAGACAGATTGGTTAAAAAGCTCAAGAGCATGGTTAGACATATCCAAGTATAAAGCCACTATAAAGCTCCTCAGCCAGAACTTCACCCACTCTCAGGGGCCCTCCATTGAATTCTCCAATCTTGGTCATTAATGGAATTTGGGTTTTTATTTCCCTACCTGTCACTGCACTGTATAACTTGTACATCATTAAAAAAAAGATCATTCAGCAGACTTTGGCTTGTGGTCAACATGAGTCTGATTAAAGATTAATAAGAATTTCATATTTAAATTCTGTAAATAAAAAACCCTCAGCACCACAGCAGTGAAAGTGGTCATGACATCACCTCACAGAAAGGTGCAAATAATGACACACTCATTTCCTGTATATGAGTAACGTGAGGAAAGAAAAAAGCAAGAAAAAACCAAAACCAGTTCCTTGACCATATTTCCTGTTGATGAGCTGTCTGAACATCAATGACATTTTTTCTGGGTAGATGGAGTAGAATAAATAAATTAATTACAACAGACCTTCCACAAAGACAACATCTGTCTGCCTAAAACATAACTGAACATTTCTTGGATCCAGAGTGCAATTTCTGTTCAGTTCCAGTATCCTAGCAGCTGGAGCAGTCAGCCCAGTCCAAGGAACTGGTTTCTCATTGTACAGCCACTCCCATCAGATAGCAGGGAAAAAACATTCTAGATAAATGTTTTCTATATAAAATCAATTAGTTTATCTACAGATCCAAACACAAATTCAGGCTAACCAGGGCTTAATAGTTTCTCTCTTTTATTCACATTTATTTTAAGGTGGTGCTTCAAACATAAGTTGTTAAGCATCTTGATATGAAAGCCTGCCCCACATCACTGATAAGATTAATAAATAGAGCAAACTTTGTGTTTTTTTCCTGAGATTTTTTTGTTGTTGTTTTTTTTTGTCTAATCACCCTTTATTTGATGATATACTCAGGTCTTGGCACAAGCAATAGCAGAACAAGGAAGTCACAACACCATTACAAATCTGAGTGCTTCAGAAGTAACAAACTTAGGAACAGCTGCGATCTGCAGTGTAAGGACTTATTTCTGCCCAGGTTTATGTGGGTGATGAGCACATGCGTAACATCAATGTTTACTTCAAATGGACAAAACCCCACTTGCTACTCTGCTCTGTAACAAACCTGTCTCTTATCTTTAAAGCCTACAGTTTTGTCATCACTGCTCGTTTTACACGGTGAGACTCTGTTTACAAAGCAAAGTGGAACTTTATGTCATTTGAAGTAATGATCAATGTGATGAAAGGAAAAAGTGTTTAAATGTCTTAAGGCTGACCAGAAAAGAAAAACCTGCAAGCAAAACCCAAGCTATCATTTTATCCCTGATCGACCCCATGTCCAAGACACCTACACATTTTTCACTTAGGCTTGGCTGCAGAATGACTCTGGGGTCCTGTTTCTCTGCATTTCTGTACATTTTCGCATCATTTATAGCTATGCAACAGTAGGTGTAGAACAACACAGCTCAACTGATAATGTTTCGTAATTCGAGTACAAATGGCTCCATCAAACACTGGGGAAAAAAAGGGCTACATTTTCCTCAGCAATGATCCGTGCAAGGATATGAACAAGAGTACTGAAGCATCAGCATAAATAAAAATTAGGTGTAGGAGTTTCATTTATAGCACCTAACGCAGGCTGTTTCAATGCTGTGACAGCACAGCTTCTAACCAACAAGACATCCCAGTAACACCCTTTCATGCACTGCTACTGTTCCTCTGTGCCTGAGCATCCCTGAAAGGTAACAGTCCCGGGGCACAGCCTGGGGGAAGGAGAAGTAGCAACGGAAAATTAATGTTAAAGGGAACGTAGGAAGAAAGGAAAAGGGGAAAGGAAAATTGTTACTTACTCCATCTTTTTAAAAATAGTGAGACTTAATTATCACATAGAACACAGGTGCAGAGTAGAAATTTAGATGTCACTTGTTGACATTTTCAAACATATTTTAGGGCTCCCTCACTTTTTCTATTTCTGTATTGTAGCATTTGTATTTGAGACCTAAAAATTAATGAAAAAGGAAAAAAAAAACCCCACAAAATTGTAACTCAGGTTGTACTTCAGGGAGCTATGGGAAACTCCAGCATCCCACTTCAGTTTTGACCACCCCCAGCAGGAACATATGCTGATAAGCAAGTGCAGGGCACTGCAGCTGTGTGATGTCTCCAGAGCCACCAGACCTTTCTCTCTGGCACTTCCCAGGCACTTTACCTGCTGTTCTTGGGAGCTAACACCTGGTATGTACACAGATTACAAGGAACAGAACAGCCACCGGTGATTTTAATAAAACCAATTTCTCACTCTCTAAAACAACCAAGCCAGATACTCACAAGTAGTCAAATCTTCCTGATTCCTTTGCCAATGGTGAAATCTGCTTCATTCAGAAACGACCATCTTCAGTTTCTATTCCAAGTAGCGAAGCAAGTGATAGGCAAACAGGTGAGCGGTAAATTAGTCTGCTGCAGCAGCCATTGCACCAGCACGGGTCACAACCAGTCAAGGGATCCAGTTTCAGAGCCCAGAGCGAGTCGTGGGCCAGCAGAAGCTGAGTGTGTCACAGGGATAAAGCATTGCTGGGAAGGGAAGGAAGAATCGGCAGTTATCACTGGCATGACAATTCATCAGCTGAGCTGTAGAGCACCCGTAGCTCATCTCTGTCTCAACCACCTTGAAGAAAACGTCAGAGGACTCCAAGATGTCAGGCAGTCCACTGGGAGCAACAAGAAGAAGGGAGCCAAAATTAAGAACGCTCTGTCTACTGTGCATGGGACGCTCTGTTCTCTGTAAAGGCTCCAGAGCAGCTGGGCTCTCTCTTCAGGCCTCCTAAAGGGACTGATCCTTTCAGCTCCCCCACTAAGCTAATTCCGACAGACAGCGCAGGCCAGGAGGCGTGCCTGACACCCGGGT